GAGAACCGAGCGGGGGTATCTACGCAGGAGAATACATTTCCTAAGAAAGGATATTTCCGCACGTGGAACTTCCGTCTTTCATTTTTCACCTCATGCTTATTCGGTCACACGCATAGTTAAGTATATAACTGCATACCGGTTATTGTTCATGTTATGTTTTGCAACCCTCACCATACTTTCTTATAAAAAGCTAAACCAATTTTGTACAGATTCCCTTGGCTTGAAGTTCTTGTGTGAAGGGCGAAACGTTGCCACAATAAAACCCTACCAAAACCGATTTGTATTCAAAATCTTCTGAAATCATGAAATCCCAGTCGGTTCCAAGGATATTCCGAGATAATAATCACCGCCTGCTTTCTTCTTTGCCTACTCATCTGCTGGGCTCCTTGCTCTTCTTCCATCCACACCATCTTGGCTTAGACCACGCATGCCGCGGGAGTCGTTGCTTGACGTGCGTAATATTCGACGCAGCCATTGGAGTTTGATGCGGTTTTTTATGTTGCTGAATTGTTATCTGACTTCTTCTGTGTCATAAACCGGACGCCAAACATGCTCATTGCTCACGTAGTGTTCCCATCAGATGTGGACTAAACTGGGAAGAAACCGATTGTCAAACGGGAATAGCGATTGTAGATCAGTCGCTGTGAATGCGAATGTTTTACTACCGCAAAGTAAAGTCGAACGAATAACTAAATTGCAGAGTTAACCTTTCAGGGTAAGAATAATCTCGCTCCGGCCGTACAAATGATGGAGATTATCTAAAGCCTCTCGAAATTATGCCATACATTCTGTGGTCTCATCTGAAATCCTACAGGCGCTGATACAGCTGCCCAGATTGTTGCATTTCCCAACATTTGCTAGTTGATCCTCACCAAGGGTGAGGGCAGGTAGCGGTCACTGCCAGTCTTGGAGGAAAGTTTTGCATTTTTAGAGTGATAAGCAAAGCGCGAAATGACTGTTAGCCAGTGCAAATTTGTTCACTGCTGTTTAGCATGATGGTGAACCGCTACAGAATAGGGTAATGTCGTCAGCATACTCCCAGTCCATAAGTGGATTAAGTGGGAACTACTCTACCTCTTCAAGTAGAGTCCCGTGAAAGTAGTTTCCTAAATGTGTCAACTACTGAAACTGTAGGCACTGGCACACTTTTGCAGCTTCTTAATCTTTAGCGTGATATGAAATTTTGCATAGATCTTTTATCCATTCGGCAATGTGTCCTGATACCCTCAAATACCTTCAAACATGCGCCTACTGCATTTACAACTAGTTAGAATTCAGAGAAACTAGGGTTCTTTGTATTTCGGCTACGAGATGAGTATTAAACAGCTCACATTTCGGTACCCTTGCTCGCCTTATAGAATCTTATTGTTGACAATAATTCTGAACACTTGTAAGCCGATTAGTTGGAACATTTATTGAGATGTTCATCTAGATTGGGTTCGTGATGCAAAATTCTACCAATAATAAATATCTGCATAGTACCAATGAATGTAGCTTACCTGCCACAAGCCTGTTCCAACTAGCAACTCACTTGGTAACAGCGCTCTGGAATAATGGTTTGTAACCGGTAAAAACAAAATTGTTGACAACAACAAATTGTTGACAGATGAAAAATACAAGATAAAACACAGTATCCGTAAAAGAATGCACAAAGTACATGACTCACCGAGAGTTTTACAGTAGCACAGGTATGCGTATTCGTGCATGGAGTTTAACCCGCGTCTGATACCGCACTTCGAATTCTGCACTTTGGCCGTCATTTGATGATAACCTGCCATATTGTAAATGTGTCAGTGTGTTATCAAATAGTCTTTTAATAATAGTGATACGTTAGAGCATTAATTACTTACGCTGGGAGAAAATTCCAGGGCCGTGCCGCTCGGAGGTAGGAAAGATTTCGTCAACAATCCAGTCGGCTGTACTACGTGACCAGCTTGAACTGATAGCCACTCAGAAATGTCTTTTGCTTATGTTGCGAAAGCTGATAGCAAGTGTGATTGTTTTTAGAATCTCGTACGCCATTTTGAAATTTCTCCGGTGACATATTTTAGCTTTTCAGATTTGGTTTACAGGGAAGGTGGGACAAAACTCTGACGCTTCTTGTCGCTCTACGTTGTTCAGTCTCGAGCTTGGTGAGCTTCGCTCCTTCCAGTGCTGTCACGGTTGGATAGGGTATTTTGCGTGCGGCATCACATGCGCTCCAAGGTTTTCGGAAAGAATGAGGCATCGAATTTTGTGAACTACGTACGAAGGAGGCCGAGGTGACTTTTTGATGAATTTTGGTTGGATCAAGCAACCGAGTTCATCGCGAACGAGCACCCCGAGATCGCACACTTGAGCGAATATCTTTAAAATTTGGAGCTCTAGTCTGTCGTCAGCAATCTGATGGCGCATACTCAGAACTTTGTACTTGGCAACGTTAAATCGGGGCGTGTTCTCGGTGAAACATGTGTAAATTGCATTTGAATTCCTATTCAAGACTGGCGAACAGCGAGACATTTGAAGCGAGGACTCGTGTGAGGTCATTTGGGAAATACAGGAACAGACGTGGTTCGTTTTTATGGCCTTTAGTTTCACCGCAATAGTAATGCATCGTTTGTAGCCAAATCCCCCAAATGGTCTAGTGCCAGGGCACTTGACCACCACTGTATTGACGCAGTTGTGCGATTGGACATTGCAGTCTATGTCCATAGAGAACGTTAAACGTTCATTCTGTAGCTTTGTGCTCCACGGCCGCATCCTATCACGTATTATACCTTGACTTTCTCCTCAATCTTTGATCCCATGCTCCACTGGCCTTAGATTTGTATCAGAGGTGCTGCCTCGATGTCTCATGCAGACGGACGGACGACCGGCAACTGGCCGCTTATGGTGCTATACTCTCTTTTTTGACCTCTCTTACACTCCCCCATAGCAAAATTACCAACCTTATTGCGTAGGCCACTGTTGGAATGACAGCTAGCATACTTTTACCGAAATTTTGCGACTGCGACATTATGCACACACTAAGCAGTACTATCCCAAAAGTAGTAGTCCCCCTACCAGTTCACAATAATCAGGTTCCTTGGCAGAATTCAACTTTAGCCTTCCAAGCAGTTGGTCGACAGGCTACACTGACACGCACACTGGACACCATAGTTGTTGACGTGTACCGTGGATCCGAATTTTGAAGCCACGTCTCTCACGCAGCTATCGAACTAAATATACACGGATTGCTAGCTTAGCATATGTTACACGTATCATACGACATTTGTACAGCAACCGGTAGTCAAGCTGGAGTTAATCTCTTTCAACTCCCTGGTCTATTGGTAGTTCTTGAACAGTAGTCATTGTACAGTCCTTTTGACACTGGCAACTAAGGATGACTCGCCGAGCAGCATCAAACAACATATCATTGGGTTTATCACTTATGGTCCAGACAACTTCAGTAGTCATGCTACCCATGACGCATTTTACCACATGGTCGACCCACTACTATGCACTGCTAAAAGTTCAGGCATTTATCTTGTTGCCGCAATCTGAAGTTGCGATCGTTCATCCGTATCCAGGAGCTCATTTAGTTGAGAAATCTAGGCTTAATGCCTATACAGTCGATAATGGTGAGTATTTAATGCAGTGTTGCGCGCAGCACCGATTGTTTCGTATCAACTCGACCTTGCAGCACAGTGGGCGCCAAATTCCCACTTGGTCTCCTCTAGTATGTTGCCAGCGACGTACCCAAATGAATCATATTTTCAAAACATCTGTCATGGAGTGGCTTCATTTTGAACTGACACTCGTTTTGGAGCACGTTTGTCGATTCTGATCTTAACGTAGTAAACTACCCGTTTCCCTTAAAGTTGGCAAAGAATACGGCCGTCATTAGCGAAATTGTCCATGCCCACCTATATAGGTCCGCCATGGCGTCCCACCTACTGAAAGATTACTTAATTTTAGGGAGGACATCGAGTTCCATAGTAACATAGCTCCGGCTGTTTTGAATGAGCAGTCGTTTCTACTTGCGAGAATAGTATTAGCCAACGCCTTGAACACTGGTTGTTTGTAAGCCCCGATAAACCTGTTGGAACCAAGAATAAGCAGTGCCACTGGTAAAGGACAAATGGAACAGTTTGTTGTTAGGCTGTAAAATTTAGAGGGAACATGATTGACAGTCAACATTCGGCAGATGATCACTGTCCTCCCTCCAAGGACCACTTGTGTATGGGAAGCAATCATCAACAACCTTAAGGCATTAATTCAAAAGAAGAAACGCTGACTATACCCCAAGTGAATCAAAATCGCAGCCTTTTAATTTAGATATCTCCTCTGGGCAGCTTCGGGCTGAGTAGCGTATGTTGTGGCTGGTCCAACAAGTCTGAGCTTGACTCAAGACATTACGGGACATAGCTGGCGAGTGGCATCAGTGGAACTCTGGAACCGTCCCTTAGACCGACTACCTTCTTGAGACGCGTATTGTTCAAGCTTATCCACAGGGCAAGTTGATTCTAAGATGTATCAGTCAAACAGGCAAGTGAGCATCCTCATTGATCCTAAACTTTACTGCATTGTAGTCGGTTTTTGTAGTATTTTGCTATTGGAAAGGCTTAGGTATCTTGGTCCTAAACGTTTTCTTAAGTTGCTGAGCTTTAATACTTAACCCACGCCTTGGGGTTTGGCAGTAATCATTAGTATAGAATACTCACGTACATCTGCTTAGAATGGGGTCCACAAATCAACCTGTCACTATTATGGTTGTGAATCCAACAAGGGCTGGCGTTTCACGGGCGCTTGTTAAACTCGATCCAATGTTTGTCACTAGCTGGTCTAACGTACTTTTTTATTGAACATGGCTAAACTGATGAGCATAAGCAGTACCATTTCAATTAGTGCAAGCATAGGTCATTAACCATTTGCAAAAGTATAGTAAACGCCGGTATTCATGGCAGCATTCTGATATTTTGAACCTAGTAGCAACTGGCCACTTTCAACTTAATCCAAATCTTTATACCCGGTCCATTCAGGGATACAAAGTGTACTTCACCACAAGGCCAGAAGATCCGCTCAGTTCTTGGCTTGTATCTCGCACAACCGAAGAACGCCTTCAGCTGACCCAGTTGGTACCCAATGCTACATACTATCTGCGGGCGAGCGCTTACAACACCGCAGGTGATGGTCCCATCAGTGAACAGTTGCCAGTCGTCATTACACCAGGAGGTAATTTTTCTAAATCATACGTACATGATATGTCGGCAAGTCCAAATAGGCCATAAATATGTTATTTTTAAAACTTGTATGAATGGTTTTTAATTTCCATTGGCCATTTTGCTATTAGAGCCAAAATATCCTTGTTTGTCATACTGATCGATGTGAATTGCGCCTTCTTCCAAAGTTACGTTAAACACTTCTGTTGTGTCATTATACTTGCGTAATCAAGCGCCTACTGAACGGCTGCCTGTATTTTCAAGCACTTGTTGAAGAGTATACAAGTCCTAGTTTGACCTGCTGGATACTTGGAGATATCTGGTTTTTCTAATGTACTTTAGAACGAGCCCGATGGTGAGGATGCCTTCTACTTAATGGATCACTGCAATTACTGCATTAATATTTGGTGGTTTTACATAATTATTCTCGAATTAGTAATGCTACTTAAAATTCGCTGTTAGCCAATTACTTTCTTTTGTGCTCTGGAAACCTAAGCCAAACCATCTTCCGTTGAATTTTGGACCATGCTCGCCCAAAAACGCTGCACTCCACTGCAGTTTCGTACATTTCGCATTCATCTGGTAAAGATAACTTTAGAACGTGGGCTGGAACCTCGACCCTTAAGCCAACCAGCCTGAAGATGCAGCGCTTGACAAAACGCGTAATGATTGTTCGAAAGGGCTCTTTCGGAGCGCTCCATCATCTACGGTGTCAGTGACCGAAATGGTTGAGATTCATGTCAAAAGGAATTGCAATGTAGATTGGGATCGTGATTCACACCAGGGGGTATTGCAATACCATACTATGCGTGACGCGCGTGCTCCTGGGTCATTTGGAATATTTCTCTCTATTTTCTCTCCCGCCGAAGCTTTGTTACCATACGCTCATTTGAACCGGGGTTACCAGCTCTTCACATTCATCTATGTTACGTGGAATTATATTTTACGATGAAAGTTCTTATCATCACTAACTGTTTTAACTGTCATCCATGAGTAAGCACAAGCAGAGAACACAATCACTTTGAGCCGATTGCAGTTGTGTGTAACACGGTTTGATACAGAATGCTCGAGGTAATGCAAAAGTCTGGACTTATTCCAATCCGATGTTTCTCAACCTAGCTGTGGAGGAATATGTGAACTCAAGGTACACTAATTAGAAACTTGCCACGATCAGAGAAGAATGCAAAGCCGATTTGCAGGAGCTCGTTACCACTGTTCTGTTTTACAATCACGTCACATTGCCCACTCGGTTCACAACTGGTAACAGGTCGTCTGTGCTGGATCTTGTGCTTACTAACGAAGAGCGTATGATGGATATGTTTACTGTGAACTACCCGTTGGGTTGTTGTGAACAAGCAGTCATCAGTTTCAACTTCGTCTTCTATGCGAAACATCGGAATAAGAAATATCAGACTGTGCGAAACATCACCAGCTAAGATCGATGAGCCCAGCTCGTCAGCGTCACAATCTGGTCGTTTCTTGCTGAAGAATACCCCGAAAGTCGCCTGGCTGGATTTCGTCAACAAATTCAGTCGGCTGATTATAGATGCTTCAGAGTTGAGAGTTTGCAATGAGTCTACATCAGTTTCTTTCGTTAGTGGCAAAACTCATAGTTGGATGACATTAAGCAACGCAGCATGACGGATGTACAGATAAGCTCCAACATCAGCAACTTGGGATAACTAGGTAGTCCAACCAGACTAATTCCTCAGAGAAGACAAAGCTACCTAGCAGCAGAACATCCCAGGAACCTTCAGGGCTAACCACAAACTGCTGTACAAGCATGACAATGGCCCAAGAAAGGTGCGGCAAGGATATCCTCTACTCAGGGTGGCTGATAACCCAACAAGAACGGCTGTGGAAGCAGCGAACACGCTGCGGTTGCAGTATGCTCTCACGTTTCAAAAGGTCTTTCCAGGAAATAACCTTCCATCTTTTGTATTCCCCCAGCCAAGACTAACCCACAACTGTTTTTCTACTTAATCTGTATTGCATAAGCTGACGTCTCTGCGTAATCACAGCTTCCCGAGTCTCGATACCATTCAGCTTGAGGCACTGGGAGCAGCAGCAAGCCAACTGGCATGAACTTTAGCTCGGTTTTTCCAGCGCTGCTTAGACCGGAACCAGGTTTCTGTTAGGTGGAAGCTTGGAATAATAACTCCGATACACAAAGGCTTAAGCCGTACTACCGCCCAGTATCTCTTCTCTTTATACTCTCCAGTGTCATGGAATCCATCGTTTCCAATTCGTCGATGGGTTTTCTGGCAAACTGTGACATCATTACACCTAGGAAGCACGGCTTCCGCCGACAGTGATCATGCACAACGAATTAACTGCTCGCACGCTTGGGTTGGACTCAGTCAGCTGATGTCGATGTAGTCTTCCTGGATTTTTCGAAAGTAATTGCTCGTCTACACCACCAAATACGCCTTTCCCAGCTCCAGTATTGCGGGATCAGTGACCCTGTTCTAAGCTGGATTGCCAACTTTCTCTTCAATGGCAATTAATTGTTAGCGTGCGGAACTGTTTATCGGACGCCATACAAGTCGAGCGTGTTGTACTTAAGGCTCAGTCTTAAGGCTAAGATTGCTTTGAGCTTTTACTAACGACCTAACACAAGCAATCGTTGCAAACTCCCTACGGTTTGCCAGCAATATCAAGCTTAGACGCAGGATTCAGGTGAATACCGACCAGCTTATGCCTTAGAGTGACCTAGACACGGCACATCAGTGGTCAATGCAACATTTACTACATTTTACTTGAGTATACGCAGGGCACTCTTCATATGACATCAGAGATAGTACTCATACCGATCTGGAACGAATGTATCGCATCAGTCTACTGTCGAACGGGATTTGGTTGTATTGGTTTAAGATGACTTGGGTTGCTCCAGGCAATCCAAAAATCCCTCGAGGGATGGAAAGCAGCACATCGGGATGTTACGACGGGCGTTTGGACAAATAGACATCTCTATTTTTCGGCAAATTCTGGGTGCGTAAGTTCTCCCCGAAGTCGAATACCCTATTTAAGTCTGGCAACCATGATTGGACCATGACTTTAATGCACCAGAGTAGCTTCAAGGTCGAACATCCAAATAGGCTGTTGGAATGCGAAATCTCCGATACGATCGGAGGCGGAAACGATTGAGGTTATTCAGTGAACGGTATTGGCGATTACGAGGTGACCTGATAATGGTACATTTAATTTTATACAATCCAAATCATGTATACCACCCTTTACTACAACTCTGAAGCAATACAAACCTGAGAAATTACTCATTGAAAATCACAGAACAGTATAGCAGTCTGGAGTGCCCCAGGAATTTATTTTCCTTTTGAGTCTTCCAGCCATGGATTGCTGCCTCGGAATCGGTCGTCTCTGTACCGACAGTAAGAATCTATAAAACACAGTTGGATGACACATTCATCCACTTACACTTCGTTACCTAGCACTACGACTCCATCCTACTCCTGACATAACTTGGATCTATTTAATGTCAACTGTGGATGCTCTGAAGCTACACTGATCGCTGGACAACACCGGAGGAAACGCTAAGTCCTTCTTTTATTATTAGTGATAATATTACTACTATTATTATTATTTCGGTATCCCCACCAAACTACCCAACGGGACTTGTAAAGCAGCGCTTCTTAAGCCATACAAATGCAGTGTTCATTACGCCTATCCAATCAAGCTGACCACGCCTAGATTTTCTTCTACTCCGACCACTGACCGAAATGTTGTGCAGTAATCCTTGTACTTTATCCTGATAATTAAATAGACACTTGAGTTGTGACAAAAGTTCGCTTATTCTTGGAGTCATTGTCGTCCTAAACATGCCCGAGAGCATTCACTGCCATCGTTAGCCCAGTAGCTGTTGACCAGCTCATCGCCACAGCCTTCATAATCATCCGATGAAAAGGTGCGTCACATACTTCCGTTTCTTTACTCCTTTACTCAAGTGCGTTGTCTCAAGAGTCTGTGGTAGTGTGTGAATTACCTTCAGGCTGATGAAAACAACTTTTGGTCCAGCAGTTGAATTATGCGAGTAATTCGTTTCAATGTAAATTGTGTTCCTAATCCAGCTAACGTGTCGCAATTCACACATCCGGAACTCGTAAACTCGACACAGCAAGGCGTAGTATGTTGGCATCTCCTTCTTCTGTTGCAAATGGACAGAGTGCCACATACTAATATGATAGATTTCACGACTGCGCCCCGAAGATGCGGTGGGCACGAAAGACAACAACAACAGGGCATTTTACAATATTGTTCGTTGTGTTATTCCGATGGTGAACAGTATGTTGTCAGATGAGGTGCGCAACGTAAAAGCGTTTACGTAAGGGCGAAACTCTTTATGGGCTTTGATGAAAGTACTTGTGTCTGTCGCATCCTCTTGGGGACATCCAGTAAGGGATCGCTTTCCAATCCCGCTCCTCGACTAGGCCGAGGTTTGTTTAAGGAGCACACGAAGACAGGCAAATCTGCGCTTCGCATCCGTCTATTTATAGCCAATAAGTAACAAGCTTGCAGTTCATTAGCGTGCAGAGGGCCAGTGAGGTCTACACGCACTCACGAATAAACAAAGAGAAATCGAAGGAAGATTTGCATTTCAATGCCACGGAGAAAACTGCTTTCACCACCTGAAATCCACACCTTATCTCAAAAACGGTGGTGTAAATATCCGTTTATCTTTATGAATCACCTTATTGCGTACCTTGTATTCTAATTGAAATAGCAGTGATGTATAGAATATTAGAGACGTGGATTAAAAGTGCAGATATAGCTCTTGTGAGTAAATGGCATGTGCTCGATTTCTTGATCCTCAAATAGTATCCACACAAAACTAAGCAGCTACCAGGTTACTACTAAGTCAAGTAGTTGACAAGGATACGTTAAGCAATGTTTTGTTGAGCTTTGTGTTTATCCTGCCATGCGACTCAGCCATCACTGGCTTTGGCCAGTATCCAAACCCTGCCGAGTAACGGAGACCGCTTAAAGATTTATGCCAGA